CCATATGAGTAATCTGAAGCGATAAACGAGAAAATCGCTCCGGACGTTCAAGCCATTTCCCCTCTCCCCCTTTCCTACTAAGCGATCTCTCTAAATTGGCCGTATTTGGTTTCATCCTCCAACAGTGCTCTCTAGCGGAAAAACATGACATCTTTTAGAGACAAGCTTGAAACTGTGCCACTGCGACTCGCCCCTAGCATCCAAAATGAGTCTATAATTTTTGTTTTTCGACAATTCCATGGTAATTACGGTTAATTTTTTTGCTTAAAACGCTGCAATGGTCCAAGAAAGTGGGAAACAGGTTAGAGTTGAAAATTTGCTCAGAGAATGCTTGAGAAGAGACACTGACATTATGAGACGAAGCAAAGTTTTGAGAACGGGCTCAAACAACTTTTTCATAGTCGTTTTTAAAAGTTAGATTCTCTCATTTGAGCTTAGAAGACGTACGAGATAGACCTCAAAATCCTCAGTTAAGCACATTAGCTAGAATTCTTGCCAACCAAAAGCGTTATTTCGGAATGTTCCGACGGCTTTTGCATAAGAAATAATGAAAAATCCATGGCAAGAAAGCGTGCAATAAGCCTTTTTCAATGTTAAGATAATGATATGCATGTATGCTAAATACAAATTTGTCAAAAGCTTGACTTCAATGCCTATCAGATAAATGGAAAGTCGTTTCTTTCCCGGAAAATGTGTTGCTTAGATATGGCGTAAAAAAATCTCTGGACAACGATTAAAATCATTTTTAACTCAACAGCTGAAAAGCAATCTTTGGAATTACACATTCACATATTTTAACCTATGTTGGTGAAACATATGGGAGAAAAAGGCAACAAAGTCAACGCCTATCAAACTTTCACATCTCATCCGATCATTATCATGCGCATTCTGTCTGTCAAAAGCAATTGTAATTTATATAAAGTGGAGTTTGCAGAAAATGTGGAACACACCACGACTTGTAGGATTCGAACTTGCAAAAGTACAGGATCGCGTATAATTGTTAGGAGCGATCTTCGGAACAACACATTCATTTGAACCCATTTCGATGCTGCATACCTAAAAAATGCAAAAGTCTTTGTTCACTCACAGCTGAAATTTAAGCTATCGGCAGTTTTGTGCTCGATTAGATAAGACCTCTACGCCATAAGATCTCTAGAGTTAAGACATACATGGGTCTGTGTCTTTCTCCTAC